GGGGGGGGGGCTAAATAGAGGATTTACAGTATTCTTATGTGAAGCCATTTCAACGTTATGGCATGGCGTACCTCGTACGTTTGGTAGGTCATTACTAGGCGTATATATATTTTCCATACATACGTTAACCATTTTTATGCGGAGCTGTTTCAAAGTTTGCTTTAATTCAGTATCGTATGTTTCCATAGAAAATGAAAACCGCTTAATTTTACTCACTGTTTTTAGAATGCAAGGACACAGACCATCAGTGTCCGCTTTGGGCCGCTAATGGAGAATGCGAGAAGAATCAAAAGTGGATGTTAATTAATTGTCGAATAAGCTGCAACCAGTGTAAAGGTAAGACGTGTATGGATCGATATTCCAAACATTCATTCAGTACCCATTCATATAGTGTGTATCATACTAGAAATTTGACTCTTGTAAACGGGAAAATAATGATTCCTGGATTTCCGCATAGCCAGCCGCCATCTTGGTGGCCATAAATTGTAAAACGTATAAAACCGAATAGAATAGTAATTTATTGCCAGACACCGGACGAATTCCCATACTAAGTTTGTCTCGATTTTCTCTTCCAAAAGACTCAAGCCGCCATGTTTACGTGAATTTAGTGGTTCGTAATGCGCATGCTCAAACCGTTATTGTTTAGCATTCCCACAAAACATTTGGAGTCGACGATGTAATTGCAATTATTCTTTTCTTTCCGGCCACGGAACCTCGACTCGGTTTGTTCTGTGCATGGACAACTGAACCAGAATGTCCACCTTCAGAGGCTCTCTCCCTCAAGTGCTTCTCTTCTCGTTATCACGCGAGAACGAAACCTTTGGCCAAGAAGAGTGGAGCGAGAGAGCGTTTATAAAGTGTAGAATACAACCAAATGATGAAATATACAAAATCAAAACTAAACAGACATATTAGTGTCTTGAAATAATTTCGTTCCACTTTGAACTTAGCGTGTCAAGATCTTCTCGACACCTGTCCAGATATGGCGCTCCAAGGTCAATGCAAGAAAAAACCCGTAAAAATGTTGACCAAATGCAGAAGAAGCTGCGGACTGTGCAAAGGTTGGTTCAATAATTTTCGTTTCTATAATGTACTCAACAAAATTACTCCATTCTGATTGAACAAGAGGAGTACAATTAAATCGTTAATTGTTAATCTGTAGAACTCCAATAGTTGCTCATTTTCAGTTTGTTGAATGCATCATACACAAAAAAATACACGCGGATCTTCTCGTACAATTCGGAATTGATAGATACTCGTGACGTTCACTCGTCACTCGTACCTATCAACTTCGAATTGTACTCAAGATCGTATTCTATACAAGCGATCGTCAGGGCACGATTGCGTACACCTATAGCGCATTACGGGCACATTACGGTTTTAATCCGTGGATGAAAGTGATTGAATCTCATCATCTGCTTCGAACCCAGTGGTGGTCAAACACTGACACCATGTGCTGTCAGTCAGAAAGAATAAACTTCTCGCGCGATACAGGGAAATAATATCTACAAAAGTGAAGCCCAACAAGAAATCTTGAATTGATTTAATTAAGACTCGTATAAAAAACATCGTCTAGACAATGTTCATCTGATTTGTATGGATGATAATTAAGATCATATAGCTGGTTTGTGGATATCTGATCCATTACTCTCGCTTGCTTGTAGTTTATGATAAAGAGGCGTGGTGTCCTGCCTGGTCAGCGAAAGGTAGTTGCTATGGTGATAACTGGACCTGGATGTTTAACAACTGTCCACGCAGCTGTGATGTACCACGTGAGTAATGATAATAAGCAATCGTTATGTTACTAATACTCTAGTTAACTACCGAGGAAACAACCTAAATGGCCGATCGACCGACCAACCGACGGACTGGTTGGCAGACGGACGGAAAGACTGACGGACTGACTGACTGGCTGGGTGGCTAACGGACGGACTTGCTAACGCTGCCTGACCGACTGACTGGCTAACGGAAGCTGACTGACTGACGGACTGAATGAATAATTCACTTCTGACATTGTCCAAGTGGAAATATTTGAAATCAAACTTTATTAATTATTTTCAGTGTCGAGCCATCAGTACTGCGCGACCAAGCCAGATGGTTTCTATTCCACCTCATTAACATGCAAAGGTTACATCGAATGTCTCTCTGGGGCGACAAAGTTTGTTTCTTGTCCAGACGGGTACATGTTCCAGAAATACAACAAGATATGTAAGATGACAAATGAGTTTGAATGCGACCAAGTGGACGCTGATGAAGACGGTCATTTAAGGAAAAAGAGTAACGTTCACCGTTACAGTCACTGACGATGAGTGACAGTTAGTCATTCACGTGCAGTATTGGCCAGCTATTGAATCGTAGGACACGCCTTTGAAGGACTACTTCGTCGATATAGCGGCCATCTTGGGTCACAATACATTATGGGGAGCTAGTCCATTGGGCAAAAGAAACAATAATATATAATAATAATAATATATTGTGTTTCTTTTCATGGGTAAATTAAGATGACATGCCTTTTATGAAAAAAAAAAACATATATCAAGCCTCACATTAGCTTAATTTATATTTGGCCTCACATGAGCTTTATACTTGCTGCCCTGGATGCATTGTATTCGCCGTATCGTCGAAGTAGTCCATAGGATATAAATACAATGTCAAATTTTAGAAGTTATTTTATTCCTCTCAGCATCATTAAGGCATGGCTCTCAGATGAAAAACTGATTAGCTATATCATAGCCAGTTTTCTACGAATCTT